TACAGCATGTCTTTGGACTTGTGGGGGAAGCCGCAGCACCCGAAGGAAACCCACGCGAACACGGGGAGAACATGCAAACTCCACACAGAAACGCGAACTGACCCAGCTGAGGCTAGAACCAGCGACCTTCTTGCTTTGAGGCAATTGTGCTACCCACTGCACCACTCTCGTCGCCAATTTTTTAAATTTTATTTGATGAAATAAAATATAGAACAAAAATAAATTAATTAAATTCGATTAAAATGAGCTTTATTGGCATGATTGTTTTTGACTTATGACTCATATTTAAGCATTGCATATTACATAAACAATGATTATATAATACAGATACTTTTTTAATTTGATAAAATAAAATAAAATAAAGAAGAAAAAAAATTAAAACTTATAAAAATAAAAAATTTAAACAAAATAAAATAAAATAGAAATTGATAGTTTAATTAAAATAAAATGAGCTTTATTTGCATGATTGTTTTATGACTTATGTTTTGCATTGCATATTACATAAACAATGATTACACAGTATAATACAGATACTTTTTTAATTTGATAAAATAAAATAAAATAAAGAAGAAAAAAAATAAAAAATTATAAAAATAAAAAATTTAAACAAAATAAAATAAAATAGAAATAAATAGTTGAATTAAAATAAAATGAGGTTTATTTGCATGATTGTTTTATGACTTATGTTTTGCATTGCATATTACATAAACAATGATTATACAGTATAATACAGATACTGTTTTAATTTGATAAAATAAAATAAAGAAAAAATAAAAATAAATAAAAAATGTAAATAAAATAAAATAAAATAGGAAAAACTAGTTTAATAAAATTAAAATGAGCTTTATTGGCATGATTATTTTTGATTTATGACTTATATTTAAGCATTGCATATTACATAAACGATGAATAAAATAGTAAAGTGATTATATAATAAATAGATAATTTTGTAATTTCATAAATACGTACACAATTAAGAAAAAAATGTAGAAGCTTTAAATATAATTATTAAAAAATACAAAAAGAGAAAAATATATATGCAGCTGTACATTCATTCAGATGGTAATGTTTCTGACCTCTCTCTCTCTCCCTCTCTCTCCCTCTGTCGCCGCTCCTCCTCCACCGCCTGCAGATATCTGTCCCTGTTAAGATGCTTTTATAGAAGATTATTGTCCCTGTCCAAGGGATCAAATGTATTTAGCACAAAAGAGCTCCGATCACGAGGTTTATTGCTGTAGCATAATATTTTAGTGCTAAAAATGAAAAGATGGCAATGGTGAATCACAATTAAATTATAAATAACATTAGTTTAATTCCATGCCTAATGCCTATTTTTGACACAACAGAAGTTATCATCATTAAACTGTCACACTCTGATGATTCATCACTTATTCTTCCAAAGCGCTGAATTTCCGCAGCCAGTCTCTTATAGCTATTTTTGGCCCAAATATTTTGGTGTAATAATCAAAACATCCCTAATGAAAAAACACTGAAGACATTTACAATAAATGCTTTAAAGTGTTTTGGTAAATGTACTCTACAGCATACTGTATTATTGATTGATTGACTGCAATAAATAGTCGTAATGTTTAGTTTTTACTATGTTAAACTGTGCTGTTTTATAGCATAATATATATGCAGTATATCCTAGTTGAAGGAAACTAAAAGGTTGGGTCATTTGTTTACATTACTATAGTTGTTGTGTTACCATAGTAATGATATAATTACCACAAATTAAAGACTTTTAAGTCCAGATAGGATACGCACATCATTATAGCATCATTTTTGTGACGCTCTACAAGAATACTTAACATTTTTACATTACTGTGACTGTTGGGTTTAGGGTTGTGGTAGGGGTAGATGTTAATAAAATAAAATTTTGGGGTAATTTATTAAATAACATAAATAATATTCAGTTAAATTCAATTCAGCTTTATTTGTGTAGCGCTTTTACAATGTAGATTGTGTCAAAGCAGCTTCACATAAATGGTCATAGTAACTGGTTCAGGGTAGTTTAGTTTTTAGTGTTTAAGTTCAATATTCTGTACAATTTCTGTGTTTACATTTTTGTGATGGTTGGGTTTAGGGTTGGGATAGGGATAGACGTTCATAAAGTACAATAATGAGTAATTTAATTAAAACATAAATAATATTTGGTACAGCTACTGTTGTTACATTACTATGATAGTTGGGTTTAGGGTTGGGACTGGTCTAGATATTTTTATTATTAGACATTTTTAGCAGACATTCACTTGTTAATACACTTTTTTAAAAATATAAACATGAAACATAAAACAATGAAAAAACTAAACAACAACTAACAGTCATAAAAACAATCATTAAACAAATATATAAACATGCATTCCCCCAATCACCCACCCACCAGTGCTATCCAATGGTAAAAGTAAGTACTAAAGACATACAGTAGTAAACATATTAATCACAAGCTTGTAAAAAGGAAATAAAAGGGGACCACATTTTTTTTCGAATAATAAAACCTTGTCTATTAGGGTATATCTGATTTTTCCCAGATGTAATGTACCCGTTAACTCTGTCAGCCATAATTTAAGAGTTGGAACTTCTCTTTTTTTCCCAAAATGGGTACGTTTTTTGCAGATATCAACCCATAATAACCCAAACAGTTGTGTTACGGTCTGAAAAATTCTCGGAAGCTCCAAAAATAATTAATGTAGGATCTGGTTCAATTGGTATGTCAAATGTATCTGAAATATTTTGTTCCAGAAACTGTAAGTTGGAAGACATAACATGAATGAGACAGGTTGGAAAAACTGACATTTGGCACAACACTTTTGGAAATACTATTCAATTTACACTTGGAATAATGAAGCCTGAAGAACTTTAGTTAGCATTGTGGCAATCGCCTAACAGCAAGAAGGCCGCTGGTTCGAGCCCCGGCTGGGTTAGTTGGTGTTTCTGTGTGGAGTTTGTATGTTCTGCCCATGTTTATGTGGGTTTCCTCTAGATGCTCCAGTTTACCGCACAAATCCAAAGACATGTGATTTGGTGAATTGGGTAAGCTAAATTGTCTGTTGTGTATTTATGTGAATAAGTGTGTATGGATGTTTGCCAGTGATGGGTTGCAGCTGGAAGGGCATCTGCTGTGTAAAACATATGCTGGAATAGTTGGCGGTTCATTACGCTGTGGCGAACACAGAATAAACCACTTAAAGGGACTTAGCCGAAGGAAAATGAATGAATGAATGAATGAATGAACAGAGCACTTTAAACTGGAACAGCGCTAACATCTGTGAAGAGTGTCACCAAATTTCATTTGGAATTTCTATAGGGTTGATGTTGGGGTAGACATAAAGTACAATAATTAATCCATTAAATAAACAATATAAATAATTCTCCTTAACTTGCCACCGCAACCGTGTCTCATCTAGCCACAACAATGTAGTTAACCGACTTCTAAACTGTATCCTAGCTACGCGCGACACCGCGACGTTACATGTTTACATTCTTTAGTCCGTTGAGAATTGTTCGGCGACGCGCAAAATATTTTAGTCGACGTCGCGGCAAAACAACAGGACCCTAAAATGACAAAGATCACCTCAGGTACAGATTATGTGCTTTATTCAGTGTTCAATGATCCCAATTTTAGTTTAAATATCATTTTATGTGACATTTACTGCCATAATACTAAAACCGGAAGCAGATAGTTTACCTCAGATGTTGAAAATAAAATAACTAACGTTAGCAGGTTTGAATAGTCAAAACTCGGTGCAAACTAAGAACAGCAGTCACCCAGAAGCCTATTAATAATGTTTAAGAGGTTTAATATGAATTAATTACATTAACATAACATTTCGTTAGTGGCTGGTTTTGTAATGTTTCTGTGGCGTCGTGTTTAGCGCAGACAGAAAAATTGCGGTGTTCAAGTACTTCATCATAGTATGGTTCAAAAACACTACAGTATTAACTAACTTTACAGTATTTCTTTCATGAGGGATCTTTGCTGTTTTTGTTAATCAGTTTTCATTTGAGTTAAATAAATTTCAGTGATATTTATGTTTTAGCATTGTCTGATCAAGCTGTGCAAGTGCAGAAAAAACACACGACTGCGCATCAGAGAACATTACACTCTTGCTTTTGGCCACAGGGCAAACTATTAAAAATAACAAAACACAGCGCCGCTCATAATAACACAGGAAAGTCTGCTCGTTCACCATAGTGCTCATGCAAATGGCTATCATGCTGTTCTAACAATGTAAACATCAAATTACATTGATGTCAACATTAATTGCATTACAGTACGTCAACATTAATTACATGCATAATTAAAGTCACACTTTAGGGTGTAATTCCTGCTATTTACAAACCATTAACTATGACCTTTAGCTCAGTGAACTTCTTATTTGCTGCTTGTTAATAATTATTAAGGTAGAAGTTTAGGTATTGGGTAGGATTAGGGGTAAACAATAAGTGTGTAGTTCTAATAAACAGTCAATATCTTATAAACTGAACAAAATATTTATTGGATTTGTTAATTTTTTTAAGGTAAGTGGTTGCAAACGATTTACATGAGCTGATTTTATGCAAACAAATAAAATTTAGTTATGTTCAGCCCAAATTAATTACCTTAAATAAATGTAGTAAATTGAATGAAGCATTTTTTCAGCAGGTAATAAGCCAGTAGTTAATAGTGAACTAAAGTGATAACATAATCAAATATAACAATAAAAGTATAATAATAAATTAAATATAATAGACAATAAACTAAAAGTCCAAGAAATGCATCGTGACAGAAATCAAAAATCAAAAATGTGATGATAACCTTGGAGAAAACAGCAGTGTGATGTGTTTTAAACAATTGAATGAAAGCAGACCAAACACCCGAGAGGGACAGAGAGAGTCTGCTGGGCGAGCGGAGGATTAAAATGGGTTACATGAGGGGAGAGAGAGAGAGAGAGAGAGAGAGAGAGAGAGAGAGAGAGAGAGAAAGAGAGAGAAGCCACAGACATCATTGAGAATCACACAAATCCAGTGCGTTCTGTCAGAGATTCAGATTGGTGCTGCTTTATCGTGTTTATGTTGAGTTTGAGGGAATAATTGAGACTTTCAACATCTGTCTGAACATCAGTGATCAGGTGAGTGATCTCTCCGTCTCTCGGATTGCTTGATGTATGTTTGATAAAGGCTGCAGCATGTCTTTCTGTTCTGTTCTATTATGTTCTATACTGTTCTGGTCTGTTTTGTTTTGTTCTATTGTATTGTATTGTATTCTATACTGTCCTTTTCTGTTGTGTTTTGTTCTATTGTATTGTATTGTATTGTATTGTATTGTATTGTATTGTATTGTATTGTATTGTATTGTATTGTATACTGTTCGTTTCTGTTTTGTTTTGTTCTAAACTGTTCTATTGTATTCTATTCTGTTCTTTACTGTTTTATCTGTTCTATACTGATCTATTTCATTCTGTTCTATTTTGTTCTATTCTAGTCTACTCTGTTTTGTTCTATACCGGTCTATTCCGTTCTGTTAATTGTTCTATTCTATTCTATTCTATTCTATTCTATTCTATTCTATTCTATTCTATTCTATTCTATTTCTTAATCTATTGTCCACCCTCCCTTTCTACCACACACCCATCATTCATTCATTCATTCATTCATTCATTCATTCATTCATTCATTCATTCATTCATCCATTATTCATTTATTCATCCATCCATCCATCCATCCATCCATCCATCCATCCATCCATCCATCCATCCATCCATCCATCCATCCATCCATTCATCCATCCATCACTTCATTCATTCATTCATTTATTCATTCATTTATTCATTCATTCATTTATCCATCCACCCATCCATCCATCCATCCATCCATCATTCATTCGTTCGTTCTTTCGTTCGTTAATTCATTCATTCATTCATTCAATCATTCATTGGTTCATCTGTCTGTCCACCTGTTCATTCATCCATCCATCCATCCATCCATCCATCCATCCATCCATCCATCCATCCATTCATTCATTCATTCATTCATTCAGTTATTCATTCATTCATCGAACCATCCATTGCTTCATAAATAAATTACTTAATTGAATATTTAATTAATTTGCTCGTTTGTTCATTCGTCTATCCGTTCTGTCTACCTGTCTGTCCATCAATTCATTGATTGCTTCATTGATTGCTCCATCCATCCATCCATTCATCCATCCATCCATCCATCCATCCATCCATCCATCCATCCATCCATCCATCCATCCATCCATCAGTCCATTGCTCCATTCATCCATTGCTCCATCCATCCATCCATCCATCCATCCATCCATCCATCCATCACTCCATCCATCCATCAGTCCATTGCTCCATTCATCCATTGCTGCATCCATTCATCCATACATCCATCGCTTCATTCATCCATCACTCAATGCATCCATCCATCCATTCATCACTTCATCCATCCATCCATCCATCCATCCATTGCTTCATCCATACATTCATCCATCCATCCATACATTGCTTCATTCATTCATTATTTGGTTCGTTCGTCTGTCCATTCGTTTATTCATTCATTCATCCATCCATCCATTGATCATTTAATTCATTCATTTATTCCTTCATCTATTCATTTAATCATCCATTGCTTCATAAATAAATTACTTAAATAAATGTTTAATTAATTTGTTTGTTCATTTACCTGTATATGCATCCATCCGTCTGTCCATCAATTCATTCATTGCTTCATTCATTGCCTCATCCATCCATCCCTCTGTTTGTTATTACATTAATTAATTCATTAATTCATTCACTGACATATATCTAATTCTTCAGTATGATTCTGCTTTGTGTTGATATTTACTCTGTTCAGCTCTGAGAACAGGACTCAGCATGATGTCAGTGTGTCATTGACTTCTGACTGCCTGAGCAGATTAACATGACGAGCTGAATCATTAATACATTAATAACCTTCTGTCTTTCTCTTGGTTTGTCTGCCACACATTCCCCTTCCGCTCTGATTTGTCACATCGTCACATTATCCAGGCATTTTTAAATTGTTGATATCCTTCAGGCGAAAGTGGGCCACGCTGCTTTTTAATGCATTTTTTAGTGTGGGTAGATTGTATAATAGTTGTGCTCAGATGTGTGTTTGTGAGGGGTCAGGTTTTTGGCTTCATAGCCCTCAGGATATCTGCATTGTGAGAATCAGATAATGTTTCACACAGGAAAGCAGCATGAAAAACATACAGATCCTACAATGTCTTCATGTTGAAGATCTGAAGCTTTCTAATTGATCCGTGTATCTTCATGTTTTTAAACAGGGTGTCTGCGAGGTCTTAAAAATTCTTACATTTTCAAAGCAACATTTTAGGCCATAAAAAGGGAGGAAACATGCAAACTCTACACAGAAATGCCAACTGATCCAGCCAAGGCTCGAACCAACGACCTTCTTGCTGTGAGGCGACAGCACTACCTACTGCGCCACCGCATCGCCTGGCTTATTAATAGTGAGAATTTTATATTTAAAAAAGTGTGACAACGTATACTATTTGCTTTTTGAATTTAAATTTACAGCAATAGATTGTGTGAAAATAACAATAGTGAAGTGAAAAAAAGAGTGAAAGTTAAGTCATTTATAAATTTAAAAAGACAATATAAAATAACTGGAAACATATGTACCTCTGGAAACCCAAAAAATTTCATTCAAAAAAAGAATTTTAATATTAAATCTGACATTTTTTCTGTTTTTTTTAAATATGGGAAAATTTGTAAATTTACAGAAAAAAAGTAAAAAAAAAATAAGTAAAAAAATGTACAGGTGAAAGTGCAAAAAAGTGAAAGAAAACTTGGAAGAAGCCAATGCAAAATAACAGAGAAAATACATAACTTGGAAAAAAACCCCTTAAATTTATTTTTAAACAATTTAATGTTAAATTCGGCAATTTTTTTCTGTATTTTTAAAATACGAGGAAAATCTGTAAATTAACAGAAAAAAAGACTTGAAGTGAAAGTGAAAGTGCAAAAAATTAAAGTGAAAAAGTGAAGTGAAAGAAAAGTGAAAGTGAAGTCATCCATGAATTTAAAAAGACGATGTAAAATAACAAGAAACATACAAAACAAAAATTTCATTATTAAAATTTCAAAACTGAATTTTAATGTTGGGCTGTACAGTGGGGCAGTGGGTAACACAACAAGCAGGAAGGTCGCTGAATCAAGCCTTGGCTGGGCCAGTTGGCATTTCTGTGTGGAGTTTGCATGTTCTTCTTGTGTTGGCGTGAGTTTCCTCCGGGTGCTCCAGTTTCCCCTACAGTCCAAACACATGCGCTATAGGGGAATTGAATGAGCTAAACTGACCTTAGTGTATGTGTGTAAATGTAAGAGTGTATGTGTTTTTCCCTGTGTTGGGTTGTGGCTGAAAGGGCATCCGCTGCGGAAAACATATGCTGGATAAGTTGTCGGTTCATTCCACTGTGGGAACCACTGATGTATAAAGGGACTAAGCCGGAAAGAAAATGAATGAATGAATGATTGAATTTTAATGTTAAATTTGACAGATTTGGCGACACAGTGGTGCAGTAGATAGTGCTGTTGCCTCACAGCATGAAGGTCGCTGGTTCGAGCCTCGGCTGGGTCAGTTGGCATTTCTGTGTGGAGTTTGCATGTTCTCCTCGTGTTCGCGTGGGTTTCCTCTGCATGCTCCGGTTTCCCCCACAGTCCAAAGACATGTGGTACAGGTGAATTAGGTAAGCTAAAAATTGTCCGTAGTGTATGTGTGTGAATGATAGTGTATGTGTGTTCCTTACGGTTGGGTTGCAGCTGGAAGAGCATCCGCTGCGTAAAACATATGCTAAATAAGTTGGCGGTTCATTCCGCTGTGGCGACCCCGGATCAATAACGGGACTAAGTCGAAAAGAAAATGAATGAATTAATAAATTTTAATGGTACATTTGACAGACTTTTATCTGTATTTCTGAAATACGAGGAAAATCTTTAAATTTACAGGAATAGACTTTAAGTGAAAGTGAAGTCATCTTTAATTATAAAAAGCCAATGTAAAATAACAAGAAACATACGTAACACTGAAAAAACATAAAATTACACGTTTTTTTTAAAGATATAGAAACAAAAATGTCTTTGGAAGTCAAATGACTATTTTCCCCAGCAATTTTCACTATAGGGCAGCATGGCGCAGTGGGTAGCACAATCGCCTCACAGCAAGAAGGTTGCTAGTTCGAGCCCCGGTTGGGTCATTTGGCATTTCTGTGTGGAGTTTGCATGTTCTCCCGTGGTTGGTGTGGGTTTCCTCCGGGTGCTCCGGAACATGCGCTATAGGTGAATTGGATAAGCTAAGTTGTCCGTAGTGTATGTTTGTGAATGAGAGTGTATGGATGTTTCCCAGTGATTGGTTGCAGCTAGATGGGCATCCGCTGCTAAAAACAAATGCTGGATTAGTTGGCGGTTCATTCTGGTGTGGAATGAATGAAGGAATGAGTGTTCATCAGAAACAAAAACACAGCCTTTCAACAGAAACTCAACTCTAGTTTTTATTTTATTCTATTAGTTTTCATTAGTTTTTTAATCATTTTGTTTTGTCTTGATCAGAAGCTGCTGGAGAAAAACCATGCTGCTGTCTCCATCTCCGCAAACCCTGACAATATGCAATGCTTAACGGTGAGTGCAAAAGTCCCCTACAACCTTTTTCTGCTGCGTGGCTTCTTATGCTCTGAGACTGACCCTCGAATGTTAGCATTTAGATGTGCTATTAAAGCTACTTTGTTTGTATACACAGCGGGGGAAAATTAGTATTGAACCTGTGACCATTTTTCTCAGAAAACATTTTTAAAAGTGCCGTTGACTTGAAGTTTTTTACCAGATGTTGGTAACAATCAAAGCAATTTATATCTGCAAAGAAAACAAATCTAATTAGTTTACAAATTACGTTATGTGGGGTGACGCAATGGCGCAGTAGTTAGTGCTGTCACCTCACAGCAAGAAGGTCACAGGTTCGAGCCTTGGCTGGCTCATTTGGCGTTTCTGTGTGGAGTTTGCATGTTCTCCTTGCGTTCGCATAGGTTTCCTCCGGGTGCTCCAGTTTCCTCCACAGTCCACAGACAAGCGGTACAGGTGAATTGGATAGGCTAAATTGTCCGTAGTGTATGAGTGTGTATGGGTGTTTCCCAGAGATGGGTTGCAGCAGGAAGGGCATCCGCTTCATAAAACATATGCCGGATAAGTAGGCGGTTCATTCCGCTGTGGCGACCCCTGATTAAAAATGCACTAAACCGAAAAGAAAATGAATGAATGAATGAATTACGTTATGTGTAAATAAAATGAAATGACACAGGACAGAAGTATTGAACACATAAAGTAAGGAAGGTGTGGAAAGGCAGTGAAAGCCCAGACAGCTGCTGAAATCTCAGTCAGTCGACTGGTGGATTTACATGGGAACAGCAGCTGTGACTGGCACTCGTCAGAGAAATTCGAGATCTGAAAGTGTAGTGCCTCTAGTGGATTCGCGAAAACACAACTGGCAAAAAAACGTACCTCCTGGAACGCATTTTGCGATCTCCAAAAATGTAAATAGGAGTACGTATCAATAATGAGCTTGGGTTGAATATTAAAACGGTCTTACAGTTTTTCTCAGTCGCTTTGGTGCATTTCTCACTACACTATTTACATTTGCACAACAGCTAATGCATTTCTCAAAACAATTAGTCATTTGTGCACATCCTAGTAGCAGTTTCTCATTCTTTTCAACACATTGCAAATGCTTTTGGACATGCATCATTTGCTTTCATACAACTCTCTGCTAATTGTAACATTATCATTTGCTTATGTCATGTCAGACAAATTTAACTAAACTTGTAAATGCTGAATAGTCATTCCATATAAAACTAATAGTCCTTGTTTCATTACTTGAGTCATTACATACAAAAATGTTGAACTAGTTGTCAAAATCTGTCAAGCAAATTTTATTAAAAAAATTGTAAATCTTTATTTTCCTGAAAATGTCTTAAAAATTGAACAATTTGATGAATAATTTACAGACCTGTGTATGTTGTAGGTTCAGTTCCAATATGTACTGCAATATTGTTTACAGTTGTGCACAGTTCAACCCAAAGGAAGTTTGTTTGTTGTAAATAAGGGTGTGTTTATTCTTTTGCAGAATGCTGTGAATAAATTAGAATTGTAAAGAGCAAATGCAGTAAAAATGTGAAACATACATATTCAGTGTCTTGTACTCAGAGACCTTACTAAATGCAGTGATGTCTAACTTTACTGTAGTGTCAAATGGCTGTGCAAATAGTATATAGTGCTGTCTTGAGCATTTTCAGCAAGTGTCACCAAAATCTGACTTCTTTTGCATTGAAAAAATGTACAGAGTAAAGTGTCATAATGAAAACATGACTAAGCCATTTGACTATCTTGTTCATAAACAAAGGTGTCCGGACTTTTCATTTTGATGACACTGACACTTTGATTGACATCAATACTTGCTTTTGAGGAATGAACTATCTATTTTGAGCAAGTGACGCACTTTTGCAGGTTATCAGCTAGGTTTTGCAGTTTGCACTAATTGTTTTGCAGTTTGCATTAACTGTTGTGCAAATGTAAATAGTGTAGTGAGAAATGCACCAAAGCGTCTGAGAAAAACTGTAATAGCTTTAAAAATTGAAAAGCAAACCGATTTGTTCTCTTTGCAAAAGATTGGATAAGCACAATGTGAATGTTCAAGTCTGATTGTCTATTTTTGTTGCAGCATTGTGCTGTGAATATGAAGATGTGCTCTATACACCGAGCACATGAATAATGACTGTGCCAAAGCCACTGACAAGTAATAGCTTTTTCATTAAATTTGCATGCCAAATAAATTACATTGAGCACACACCAGGTATTTAATGATTCTTAAAGTTGCATAAATTAAAAGAAACAGCTCACCTCAGGAAAAAAAACTGTGTCATTGCCGCTCATTTACCCATTTTGTGAAAATTTTTACATTTAATTCCTCAAGACATTAAAATGTACAGTATTTGAGTTGTGAGTTGGCAGTCAACCTCCATAAAGGAACCCAAACACTGTCTTTACGTGAGGCCGAATGTTTTGCTAATATTCACTGCAATCTCCGCCTCCATCAAACAGCATTTGCACTTCTACTGTATATCGAAAGTACAAAACTAAAGAGCCAAAAATTAAACGGCATACAGTGATTAGCGTAAATGAGTACAACCCTCACAGATCTCTCTTTTACGTTTATTTTTTCTACTGGATGTTTATTGTCTGTGGCAAGTCCCAGTTAAGATAGTAGTACAAGTGTGTGTATGTGTGTACCTTGTATTCCTTACATACCAAATGTCCTTACAAGTATAGCAATACCAGTCGTTTTTAAAGAATAATGAAAACAAATGAAAACTAATTTTTTGAGATGTTGACAGTCATATATGTGTCCCACATTGCTAAAAACACTATTAGGAGACATATATTTCACTATAAAGTGAAAATTGGTTGTTTTTGCATTGTTTAGAGCGAATTCGTCCAGTTCGAAAAGCAAGTTTGAAGCAACGTCACGGCCATGAGATCATTGTGTAAATTCCAGCGTGGAGACTGGATGTCTTTCTGGCCGGTCAATGTGACGACTTTGAGTTTTCAGCATTAATTTATGAGTAGGGATGCTAATTTCGGATAATTTTGCTAATGTCGTGTTCGGTCCCTTGTCTTTCGATCAGCAATCGAGTCAGTGGGTCTTGATTTCAAAAGTTGGATTTATTGCCAGACAATAAAAACGAGAGGCTAACAGACAAAAAAATGTCTCTTCATGAACCTCTGCCTCTCTGTGTCCCTGTCTTGCTTTTATACATGTAGTGTTGCAGACTTTTCCCACAGATATGGTCTTGTGCTGTGAACCTGCTATATTTTTGGCTGTGTGCCTTTTGAACTCAGGTATATTCTTGGCTGTTTGCCCTTTAGGTGCTGGTTTAAAGTTTACATGTACTCAGCTAACTACTAGGCTTGCTCTTACTGTTATACCTTCACTTCACACTTATTTGTACACATATTAATATGATTATACAGAATAACATGTTCATTGCATATGTTAAACAATATATGTTTACTTGCACACTTGTACACAATTGGAGATATTTACTGCATATTCACTGCACACTTTACCAAATATATGTTCACTGCACACTATTGGAGAGAAGATCAAATCCTTAACATACAAATATATGTTCACTGCACACTATTGGAGAGAAGATCAAATCCTTAACATACAAATATATGTTCACTGCACACTATTGGAGACAAGATTACAATTACTCCGTCACTAACCGACAACAGCGGCTCGTTAATTTGTTATTAATGGTTAACTGGTCACATAACAATTACTTTTTTATAATTTTTTTTAAACAAATTGATGTGTCTATTTTGTGTCTGACACATTAAATATTGCATTTTAAAATGCTGATTTATTTTAACATGCTAGCATATTAATAACAGAACATAACAACAGAGCATCTTCACTCAACTGCAGTGTTTGCAAAAGCATAGAAAAACAGAATAAAATAAATAAAATGGATAAAATAAATAGTCCTGCACTAAATTATTTTTCACTTAAATAATTCAGTTAGAGAACAAAATGAAAACACTGACTGAATCCTTTTTAAGAACCGGCATGGGCTGTTTTTTTTTCCCAATCATTTGCCGCGTGCAAAACAATTTCGACTTTTAGTAAACCATTCAAAAGATGCCCCTCTTAACGCAAAGAGCGCATTCAATCGGCCCATTATGCAGCCAAACTAAAAATATACAAAATAATATTTTTAATCGTTTAACTGATAACATTAATCGGTTACAAACGCACCCTTTCAATTAACGGTTAATAGATTATTTTGAGCATCCCTATTCATGAGTGAGACATGGTTTGAACCAATCATCGTGCTCTTTTTATGAACGAGGTGTCGTCAGTGTTGTGTTTATTAATGTGCGCATAAATCAGAGAGAATTAAATATTTGAATATTTTATGTAAGGGTTTTGGGGATAAAATATACAGTCTGTACAGTCGAAACATCATTATATCTATGGAGATTCTGTATCAAACTGGAAAGCACAACATGTGTGGTACATGTGTGTGTGTGTGTGAAAGTGGTGTGGTAGGGTAGACATATCAGATAAGCTGTTTGGGGATCTGTCTAATTGTTTAATATATTTACGTTCGGGCAACTCTCCAAGTGGATTTAAAGAGGATTTATTGAGAGTGGAGGAGGTGCTGCTGGGACTGCTTGAAAGTCAGTGAAAGTCTTGAGGCAAAGGAGACTAAACACAACCACAACACAACTAGAAAAAGCCCAAATTTAGGCAGATCTAGTGAGGATGAGACTGTGGAGATGGAGGATAAACATAGTTGCTGGAGGTGAGTTGCAGTCTTTAGTGTTTTGATAGCAATGTTTGGTATTGTGAGTGGAGTCTGGTGCTGAGTGGTCAACAGGTGTGTATTATTTGATATAAAGAATGGCCTTTTCTTAATATGCATTTTAATATGCATGTCTTGCGTTATTAATTGTTGCATGCTACCTTATCATTGGTATAGTTTTGGTGTTAAGCCAATCAGATTCAAGAACCAGACAGAACCGTTGTATAAATATATAACACTTGTGGTGCTCTTGAAGTGGGATAAGGGTAGAGTTTGGGTTGGGTGGTTTAGGGTGGGTTAAGGTGTAGGTTATGGTCAACAGTGTAATTATAAATGTAATTATAGAAATTAATAACAGATGTAAATACACACAAGAATTTAATCAATCATAAGTAGTGTAAAAACATGTTTTTACACAACAAATACATTATAACTAATTACAAATTTCATTGTAACCAATTAATTAAAAGCGGGACTGTACATTTTTGACATTTATTTTATGTTAATGTCATTTTGACATCAAGGTGCTAGCTGCGTAGTAAAACAAACACTATACCAAATTCCCACATTATGTTCAGAAGGACAAAAATTGTAAGTAAATGATTACAGAATTGTAT